AGAGAGACTAGTTTGCATAGTAAGGAGGTAACAATACAGTGAACTAATCAAGATGTGCTACTTTAGAACCCCCAAGCAATAACTTTCAGAACCTGTTTGCGAGGATAATCCAATATTGGTAGGCAGTCTGATGTAGAAATTGCAGACATGAGGCTGAGAGGAAAGTAACAATCTTCTCAGCAGAAGGAGTTGATTTCCAAGTATCTTTTCCTCTTCAGGATTAAAGCTGCTATTTTCGTTTGCAAGAGATGCAGGAATAGTAAAGAAAAGATTATACCCTGGGAAGTAGAGCAGCTTTGTTTGAAGTTCTCAAAGCGTGTTTTGTACTATTTTGTTCTAAACAAATAATACTGATGATCTTGCTTTTGATTTGCTGTGCTTTGAAAACAGTATTCTGGGCAAAAGCTTTGCTAGTCATGCATAGATTTACTGGACTGATGAAAAGCTAGCTTTTGGGCTGGAAAGCATTTCAGTCCACAACAGGATGGAGGGGTTTGCCATGGAGTTGTGTATGATCTCTCATTTCTTGTGTGTGTGTGCATTTAAACATCCGTATGGATTTTGCCTGAGCAGAGTACAGGTCTGTGTTTGAACATGCCTATGCAGGAATTCTGGGCCTTGGCTGAAGAAAGAACATGTTGATGATTTCACTCTCATATCCTTAATCTCATACACTGTGATTGCTTTGCTTTATCAGGGCTCAAGATTTTCTAAGCTTTCTAAGATTGCATTTAGAGAGCTCAAGCTTGGTTATTTACAGATTTGGAGCTAAATTACTTTCTGATGAGATTGGGCTGGGACAAGTGGACCTCCAGCAGGGTTGATGTATTTAGCCTCTCTTGTTTCTAATTTAAATATTCCTACACTCTTTTGCTTTGGCCATGTTTGGATCATAGGAGTCAACAGATGCCTCTGTTTCTCAGTAGCCAAGTATTTTGTTGCAGAGAACTGAGTTTTGGCCGTGGGAAGAGCTGCTAGGATATAAAGGAAGCATCGAGGTTTTCATGTTTTTGCAAGGCTGGATGAGATCTAGAGGAAAAAGCAAGGCTCTTTTGAGAACCTTCATCATCAAGACTTGTTGTATTCTGAGAAGGAAAAAAAACCTTGTCTGGTAGTTCGTCGGCTACAGATCCCCTTTTTGGGACTATATTTTCTGGGTGGGGGTGGGAGGGAAACAGTGTATCTGTCACAAAACCAAGCCCGAAAGTACTTGGTTCAAAATCAAGTTTGGTTATGCAATGCAAGCCCTGACGCCATGAGAGCTGATAAGCGTGTTATTGTTACAGATGAGCATTTTGGTACATGACCAGTGCCTCCTGCCCTGCTTCTAATTCCAGCTGCAACAGTTCCTGGAAAATTACAGTCCCACATTTGATCATTTGACAAAATAATCCTCTCAGTTTCCCTTTTAACCTGTCACCCCCCGCCTCATTAATGACTTAAATTTTATAGTACATTTTATACTTCTGATGACATCACAGTCCTCCTGAGGATGATGTCATCATCTCACCTCTTAACAGTGAGGCCAAAGAAGGAAGACAAGAAATGATGTCAGAAGTGTATTGGCTAGCATGTGTCACTGTCAGCAGACAATTACAATACTCGGGAACCGTGACCATATGGAAAGCAAAATCCAAAAGCTAAAGTTGGCAAAGTGCAAGGAGCTCAGGCGGGGCAGACTTGATGGCTGGTGCAGGCCAGATGCACCTGCCTAAATGTGACAGATTGAACACACTGCCAAAAGCAAGATGGTTTCATACGGAATAAGGCCGTCCTGTATGGCTTTATGTTGGACAAGGACGGCATTCTTTCTCTTTTCAAAGTAAGTTGTTTACTACTCAGATCTTCAAGCACCTGATACTGAAACAGTGGGAGCAGTCGATCCCAGAAACAGAGACAAAGCAAAACCAGCAGGACAGACAAAACTGGCAACAAGTTAAAGTCAAGGGGGCCAAATGTTTTAGAAATCTCTGCAACTGAATAACATCTACTTACACTTTTTAAAAGAAGTTCTCAAATAAATCAAGCACTAAGAGGCAGATTAAATGCCAGGATTTACACGCTGCAATAACCAGCACTACTGCACCTTCAAATGAAGGACAAAATGAAGTACTAGGTAATTGGACTTGAAGGGAAAAGAAAAGGAAAGGGAAAAAATAATGTGAACCAGACAGAGAATTCAGTAGATTATCACAGGTAACTGTAGGTACTGTATAAAAATATTTACTTACGTTAGGAGAACTATTCCTTTGTTAAGATGTTGGGACATTTAATTAGGTAATTATAGAATCAGAGTCCAACTACTTTCTGTTGTTTACACTGGAATAAAACTAGATCAACTCTTAACTTATATTGCCTGAGCTACTCCGAGTTTAATACTAATACAGAAAATGTCAGCACCAGACTCCAGAGCCATCTTTGCTTATGAGTTCATTATAAATTAAAAGCTAAAAGCTCAACTTTTCTATTTACTGAATCATTTTTACATGCACAGTGTGCATGCATTAACAATTGCAGTCATTCATAACCCAGCTACTATATGCCTGAACATGAACTCCAGTTTTAGTGGGGGAAATGCCAGACATTACTGATAATGCATTAGATAATTAACTTTTTGGTTTGAGTGGTTATTTTGCTCACTGGCAACATACTTGCCAGGAAAATCTAGTGTCCCAAGCTAGAATTGAAGGCCTTTCCCCCCCCCACCCCTGCATGAACTTATATAATGTTCTCTATGAATCTGTTCTTGAGTTTTATTAAGCTCTTATGTGCTTGTAGACTTTTTTTTAACCCAGTTTTATTAATTTACAGAAGACTACACAGCTTAACTTTTGTTTTACTTGTATTTTCATAGTAACTATGAGCCCAGATCATAGGCTAGAACTCCACTGTGCCAGAACTGTACAAACACAGAGTGAATACGTAAACTATAAGCTCTTTGGGACAGGAATGAAGAGTTAGGTAATAATGGACAGATATAAACAGACCAGCAAAGGAGTGGAAAGAAAAACTTTCATGAGCAGATCCTTCGAAAGTTTGTGGACAGTTTTAATTCAAACCTTGGGAAACAAACTTGTGTTGCCCAACACAATGCCTCCAGAAAGAAACCTGTCAAGGGGAAAATGTTCCAGGAAGAAAACAGTAATAGTTCAGAACTTCATAATTCCTGAGTGTGTTTTGGAAATGACACCGCCAGGGACTGTTCTCTTGCAAGGGCAGAACATGCCTCCTGACTGTACTCCCTCAGCCATTTAGTTTTGTGGGCAACTCCAGATTACTTTTCAGGAACTGTCCCTGACCATATTGTCCTCCAAACTCTGCATTGGGCTGAGCCAAAACCACAGCCATGACCGTGCTAGGGCTTGGATGGTATGGAAGATTATGTACCAGTGCTTGGTCGTCTACACAGGTGTAACTGGTGAGAATAGTTATCAGCTGAAGTGCAGCACAAGACAAGTAAGGATTTCAGAATCAGTTGGCAGAGGTTCTTCCAGAGAAGTAACCTGAGGAACATCACCCTGCACCGTGGTCACACAATCAGTAAGAACAGAGTAAAAAAGCACAGAAGGACAAAGATGGTGCCCTGCTGTTAACGGAAGCTTACTGTTGCTGTGCAAGCATTTGGCAGTGTCCACAGCATCTTGTGTGTATCATGGCTATTTTTACATTGCTCCGTAGGAAGAAAAAACATGACCTTGCACATGGAACCATTAAAAATGTAGAGCATTATTCTGTGGGTTATTTTATGTCAAGCAGCAGATGGTTGGACATGATAAATAATAAAACACAACAGAGTATTTCCAAAGCTGAGGCTCTAGCTTCTGGATTTCTGAAAGAAGCAGAGAAGCTTCTTGTTGAGGCTGTTGTTGAGGCTGCGGAAAGACAGTGGTTTTGATTCAGTGTGTTACGATCAAGTTTTTATTTTAGCATAGTAGTGAAAGACTGTAGTGGAACAATATGTTACAGCAGTCCTGGACGGTGATGGCTGGAGGATACCACCCCCTCGGAGGGATCGTATTCCACACAGACGTGGTGGGCAGAGCACTGGTCAGGATCCACAGCCAGCACAGGCACAGCTTCTTGTATTTACATTGGGGATGGGATTATTTACCAGCACGCCTCATTGCCTGGAATGACTGACTGCCCACTCACAAGGGATTAGATACAATATGCCTGGGAAACAAAGCTGCAGGTATTTCTGGGCTCAGTTGCATATTGTTTTCTCTCTGGGATTAAGTAAACACCCTTTTTTGTTGTGCCTGGGCAGAAATTGTCTTCACTGACTTTTTTGTTCTAAAACCGAGGTGAACTCATTAGTGTAGCTGTGTAACTGGGAATGGAGGAGAACAAGGAGCAGGGATTCAAGTCTGTGAGTGTGCACCAGGCCCCATCAGCCAGTGGTTCCGCCTTGTGCGCTGTACAAAGACTAGCCAACATGGAGGCAGAGTTAGCAGAACTACAGGAGGAAGATGTGGTGGAGAAAAGCAGTTTGAAGGACTACAATCGGCTGATGACCTAGAGGAGATTGCACCGTGATTGTTTTACAGTATAACTGGAAAGTTAACAGAAAATGGAAGGCTTAAGTGCTAATTACTCAACAAGGAACTCTTCCCAGGCTTCAGTTGCCTGTACATTTTGGGGACTAGAACATGTAGATGCACAAAATCCAGCTCTGAAAAACTTGTTTTCAAGCCTAAAATTAGCAGGCTCTTCAACTAATGAACTAATGCTTTTTTGGTGCGTATTTTTTGTCCTCTTTTTGCAGTGTTACTCTGTTTCCAGCTCATTTGTTTTGCACTTAGCACCGCCCTCTTCTGCCTTCTGTAAACAGACTTGAAAATGCCTGGAAGATTCCTCTATCAGTTAATTTTTATCACGGACATCCACTTCCCTATTCAGTTGAATGAGGCACTCAGTGTAAAAGGAGGTTACAAAATGATTATAATGGAAGGGAACCACCGTCTGGTGTAAAAACTTTATTTCATCGCATTTATTCACAGCAATAAAGCATATGATCCTGGAAGAAGTGCTTCCTATGGCCATGAGCGTTGTGCTCTGGGAACCCTAGCTTCAATCAGTGCCTTTCAAGGACCTGCCCATCAGTCTGAACTGATGCTGAACTGGGCTGAATGATTCCCTTTTCCACTCTCTGGTTTTCCCATCTACAAACCTGAATAAAGATGCCTTATGTGTTAAACATTTTTGACATTGACTGAAATGAGCTGGTAAAAAAAGAAGGTATTTCTGTGACTATCATTTCAAGCTTGAAGTAATGGTTTAAGTAAACCAACAGAAACACTACCCCGAGCTGCCGAAGCTCCCCGCCGGCCAAGGCACAGCAGCGGGCGGCGAAATTGC